GGATCGAGTCCCGCATCGGGCTCCCTGCTCGGCGGGGAGTCTGCTTCTCCCTCTGACCCTCCCCCCTCTCATGTGCTCTCTCTCATTCTCTCTTTCAAATAAAAATAAATAAATAAATAAAATAAAATGAGAGGGTTCCAACAAGTATTTTCTCCACTACTTACAACTGGAAGTTCCAAATCTGTCACTGGCCAAATCTGGTGATAGGAGTAACCAGTGTCCTTCCCTGGGCCTTAGCCCCTGCTGGACAATGGAGAGAATGGGCAAAGGGCAGTGCTGATGAGCTGGAATCCCTCATCCCTGCCAGATACAAAGTCTCCAAAACTTAGAGAGACGCAAATCCTGGTGGGGGTTGCCAGTTTGGGCCTGGGAGGAAGATGGTACCCACTGGTCCCACAGAGACGGTGGATGAAGCATGGTTTGAAGGCTACCGTGATGCCGAGTGAGGGCCTAGACCTCAGAGGAGAGGGCTAGTCCTCTTCCTACACGCTCATTTCCCCTGCCTTCCATTCTCTGGAGCATCTCAAGCTACCCTTGCTGTAGCAAGCAAGGCCCTGAGTGGGAGGCAGGAGGCGGCCAGCCCAGTTCCTTCCTTCTTCCCTCCTTCCCCTGCCCAAACCCCCTGTGGCCTCTGGCCTCCTGGCTGAAGAAAACAGATTTCTCTTGTGGCATGCCCTCCCTCGGCAGTTCGCTGTGGATCTGAGCACACTGCCCTGAAAGTCTTCCAGGGAGGGGCTTAGAAGAGGTCATTTGTAGGAGACAACTGAGTCTTGTAAACTGGATTTAAGGAATTTCCCCAGAAGTAGCACAATGTCCCCATTCTTTCCTTCCAAGAAGCCTCAGCCCGCCCCCTGCCTACCCAGCCCACATTCTCTCTCCCACCCATCCCAGCCCCCAACTCATATTCCCTGGTGCGATGGCTGCTTCCCAAGGCCCCACATGCTCAGCTTTGACCAGGCCAGTGTGCCCAGGAAGTGCCAGGCTGCTGAAGGGATGGGGAGTGACAGGCTCTCTTGTGTCCCTTCTGGATCCAGCTGTGGGGTCGTGTTTCCTCAGAGGCCGCACCTCAGATCTTTGGCATTCGTGCGCAGGACTTCTCCCCTCCCAAGCATCTGTCCTCCAGATCGCTTGCTGAAGACCTTGTGCTACTTCCTTTTATCCAGGCTTCTAGTCTGGGTGTCCCTTACTCCTCTGTTTTCCTCAGGGCAGCTCAGATTTTGATATCTGATGGGCCACAGTGGGGAGGGAAGGGCAGGGCCTGTTTGTATAGAGTAATTGAGGCCCCACCTCCCACAACCTGGAGATTAAGCTGGGGGTAGGGGGAGGAGAAAATTGCTGAGATGGGGTAATCTGAAACTCTTTGTCAGGATAAATTGGGACAGGATCCCCACGCTTCCCCTCCCCTCTCAAACGCCCAGCACTTCCACCCACTCAGAGCACTGGCTCTAAGGCCCTCTCTTCTGAAGGGGGCCCTCTGCCGCTGGCCTCCAAGCTCAGTCTCTGCCCCACCGATGCCACAGCCAAGGAGCAGAGAGCATACATCCTCTGCTCCTAGCTTCCCAGGGCTGCCCAAGTCCCAGGCGCCTGGGTAGTTATGCCAGGAGAGGCCCGCGCAGAGCAGGAGAGAGGCTTCCAGCTCCTAAGGGAGCAGTCGGAGGCCGTCCTGCCGGATGGGGCCCCCAAAGACCTCCTGCAGCGCTTTCCCAGCTGCTTCCCCACAAGGGGAGCCAGAAGCGTGAAGACTACTGGGTAGATAAGGTTTCACCAGCAGACAGCTGTTCGAGCTTACTATTAGGCATAAGGGGAAGGGGAGGGGAGGGGAGGAGAGCAAGTCTTTAGCTCAAACTCCAGCCTGGCGCTCCTTCCACTTCTTTCTGTCATCTCTGCCTTTCTGTCATAGCTATTACTGCCCCTTGCCTGGGGAATGCAAACCAGCCCCCTTCCTGCATGGAAAGAGCCGGGACTGCGTGCGCGGCCGTGCGTGCGTGCGTGTGTGCGTCTGTGTGCGCGCGCGCACAAGCATAGCCAGAAAAACAGACCCAGGCTTTAGGGCCCTGCAGTGGGGATGAGGTTGGAGAAAGAGGCTGTGGGTGTGAGGATGGGATGGGACTGAATTGGACCGTGACCTTCAGTAGTGAGAGGAACACCGGGGCTGGGGCTGCGGTGGCCCGGGCGTCGTCTGTCCACCCGGCCTCCTCAAGCCGCGGGCCGGACGGGTGCCGGGGCGCTCACACTCACCTGCTTGCTTCTCTGCCCCGTACAGTTCCGGGGCCGCGCCAACCTGCATGTGTTTGAGGACTGGTGTGGCAGTTCCATTCAGCAGCTCAGGAGGAACCTTCACTTCCCACTGTACCCACATGTGAGTGTTTGCTGGGCGCGCCTCTTTTCCCTCCCTCGGCCCACTCCTGTGTCTCATCTCCCCCTGTCTTCTGTCTTCTTCATCTGTCCTGGCTCTTTTCTGGTTCATTTTCTTTCCTTTATATCTTGGGTCCTCTTTTCTTCTGCCCACAGTTACTACTCTTGCTCCCTTCCCAAGGATTCCTTTGAGTTCTCTGCCATCTTCTGCATCATTTCAGCTTCAGGCTCTCATTGTGCCTCATGATATAATTTAGCCAGAGCCACCACATACAGTTGGGCTGGTTGTGCACTGTACAAGGTTACATGAACAAAGAAGCAAGTGGGAGTGGAAATCCTGCCTACACTCCACTCACCAAGCCATGCCCCAGTCCCTCCTGTCTCCCTCCCCACCTTGGTCTTCCCACCAGCCCTGAGTGGACCAATTTCTTCAGTTTCCTCTTCCCTCTTCTGGGTAATGGTTTCCCTCCCCTTTCTTGGCGTAGATTCGCACAACCCTGAGGAAGCTGGCCGTGTCGCCCAAATGGACCAACTATGGCCTCCGCATCTTTGGCTACCTGCACCCCTTCACCGATGGTGAGGCCAGCCCCAAAGTCCCATCCTCCTGCTTCCTGCTCCAGGTTCTTTACGGTACCCAGAGAACATAAGCCTGTAGTTGAGAAGTAAGTCCACATTAGGCTACCTGGACCCTGTTAGTCCATCACTGGGGAGAGGGGGGAAATTTAGTCACGGTGAGGTCTCATCCAGTGCCCCCCAGCCGCCACTTCACACCCTGATTTGCAGAGTCTGGCACTAGCTTGTCTCTTCCTGGGAGTCTTCCCTGTCTTCATGGTGTCTCCTAGGATGTGGAACCCCCACTTTACAGAGAGGGAAGTCACGGCACCAAGCCCTCTGAAGAGAATGTAATCGCTAAGACATAAAACAGGCCTTCAGCCCTTTATGCTAATGCCCTTCTTGCTTTCATCTGCAAACTCTCTCCCGGACTGCCCAGGGAAGATCCAGTTTGCCATTGCTGCAGATGACAACGCTGAGTTCTGGCTCAGCCGGGACGACCAGGTGTCAGGCCTTCAGCTGCTGGCCAGTGTGGGCAAGGTAGGGTCAGCCCAGCTCCAGAACTCTCCCACTGGGCCCAGGAGCCAGGTCATGGAAGAGGCACCTGCCCGCATCAGGAAACCCTCATTACCATTAGTCTCTCTGGTGTGACAGCCAGGGAAGAAGGCGTGAGAGAGAAGCATCCTCCCTCTCACCCCTGCCCCGTTTTACAAAGGGATAGACAGAGTGTAAATTGGGGAGGAGTGAGGAGTTAGTCTGAGGCCACAGAAAGACCTCAGGAAGATTCATCTCTGGGCTGGGACTGGGCCACGTCCCGTTTTTGGGTTCCAGCATCCTTAGCATGGTGCCAAGGATGAACGCTGTGGAGCCTGATTGCTCGGGCCCCTTGTAGGAAGGGCGGAGGTCCTTCTTGCCTGGGTTACCTGTCACTCCCCTCACCTCTCCTGTTTTCTTTCCCATCTCCCTGCTCTTCTTTTCTTCCACATCTCCTCCCCATTCCTTCTTTGTCTCTTCACTCCCCGCCTCCCTTCCTTCATATTGTCCATTTTCCTCCTTCCTTCTCTTCTCGCTCTCCCCACACCTCTAGACTGGAAAAGAGTGGACTGCCCCTGGAGAGTTTGGGAAATTTCGGAGTCAAATTTCCAAGCCAGTGAGGTGAGTAGGGAGTCTCATGACATTCCTATGAGCGACAGAAAAAGCCCAACCTACCTCAAGTGCTGAGGTCAAATCAGGCAAGGGAGTCCAGTTGTACCCTCCCTTTTCTCCAGCCTTCCTTATCCAGATATGCAGCATGCCTGGGCTCTCGTGCATTCTGATAAATGAAGTCTTTGACTTAGAAACCATCTGGCCCATCCTTCCTCATTTTACAGATGGGGAAACTGAGGCTCAGAGAGGGGTGTGACTGGGAGAAGGTCACACAGCTATTTAGTGACACTCAGGACTGGAAAACAAAATAGGTCTTTCTTCTCCCAGTCCTTGCCCTTCCCATTTGCTCCATCCCTGGAGATGTCCACAGCCTGGACACTGCCTGTGCTGTGGAAAGTTCCTCATCGCTGTGTTCCCTTGGGAGACTGGAGCGAGACCAGGCCTTTCCCAGTCTGTAGTGGCTGGAATTGCTTTTGTCATGCTGGAAGGGGAACTTAGCCTAACCTCAGAGTGCCACCTGGTGGCCTGCACACACAAGCAAGAACATGCACTGGTTTAATGGTGATAATAGTGATGTTGGTAACAATAAGACAGTTTAGCTGGCGAAGAGCACTTGCCGTTTTCCAGTCTCTGTGGTGAGCACTTCACATGTAACTCAGCATGGCAGCTAACGTTGTGGACCCAGAAGCCAGACTGCCCGGGTCCAGATCCCAGTTCCACCACTTACTACCTCAGTGATTTGGGGGCAAATTACCCAAGATTTCGGTGCCTCAGGGTTCTCATCTATAACCAAGAATTAAGTGAGTTGGCATGTATAAAACCGTTAGAACAGTGTCTGGCACATAATAACAACTCTGTAAGGGTTACTATTACAGATGGCCAGACTTACAATAGTTCGACTTACGATGTTTCAACTTTACGATGGTACAGAAGTGATATGCATTCAAGGGAAACTGTACTTCAAATTTTGAATTTGGATCTCTTTCCAGGCTAGCAGTTAAGGGGTACAGTAGTCTCTTGTGATGCTGGGCAGTGGCGTGAGCCTCAGTTCCCAGTCAGCTACATGATCGATCACAGGGTCAACAGCCGATAACAGCCATTCTGTGCGCATACCACCATGCTGTTTTTCACTTTGATTTAGTAACTTACATGGGATATTCAGTACTTTGTTTTAACTAGGCTTTGTGTCAGATGATCTTGCCCAACTGTAGGCTAATGCAAGTATTCTGAGCACGTTCAAGGTGGGCCAGGCTAAGCTATGATGTTCGGGAGTTCAGTGTATTAAATGCATTTCGACTTCCAATATTTTCAACTTAAGAGGAGTCTATCAGAACGTAAGCCCGTAAGTTGAGGAAGATCTGTTTCCTTTGATCGTCCTGATTCTCCTGTGAAGTGTGTACTGTTAGTACCGCCATCTTACAGAAGAGAAAACTAAGGTCACACTGTGAATAAGAGGTAGTGTGGGGACTGCCAGGTGTCAGGCACCTGGAAGTGGTGTCTTTTTCCAGTTTACACCAAGTTGTGGTGTGTGGTAGCCATGGGGCTGGTAGAGTGGGTCCAAAGGAGATCAGTAG